GTTGATGCAAGTTTGCAGAAGGCGTCGCCGCCTGCAAGGCCAACCGAGGTCTTCAGGTCCAAAGGCAGCCTGCACAACCTGGAAACTGGAACCCATACGCTCGGCTAGAAGATTCTTGGGGAAAGCTGCAGCATTCTCCAGAGTGACGACGTCATAATCAGCAGCCTTAGCATGTGCCATGAAGATCGACATAGACTCACTATGCTCTGAGGCTAGTCCTTCGTGGAGACCGAATGGACTCCACGGGGTGCACATGGAACCCCCCACCAGGATTGACAACTCACGCGTGCGATGGCATCTCTGGCTGTGGAACACGAGCGGGCATGCATTTCCTCGGGCTCTGCACTCTGGTTTGAGGCATGGTCTTGCCTCGCAGTGCAAGTCATGCAGGTGTTTTTGGAGGTAGCCCCACTGCTGGGCATATGCACAAGTCTTCTGGGACGGTGTTGCTTCCTTCCGGGGCCGCATCCTTTGCAATGCTTGAAGATGCTGCAAAGAAACCCGGGACTGGAGGCTACCGAAGACATGATCAGGAGGATGTTCGGTCTCTATAGCAATCTGCTGGCAATGGTCGGCTATGTCTGAGCTCCTGTGCCACCGGATGGTTTCCGGCACTTGACATCCAGCTGTCGACAGGGCAACCAAGGACATGTTCAAGGCTGTTTCTGAACAGCGTCGGCCACTAAAGTCCGTGTGCCCTACAACACCATGGCCTAGAGCTTGCTCTAAGCGAAACAGCATGCACGGACGCTGTTGCATCGTCTGCACCAAATCAGCTGGCCAGTCAGCCAATTCTCGCACGCTCTGCAAAAGGGGACTACAGCCATGCTCGACCATGACGAAGCTGCTCAAGACGCGGCTTCACTGCTTGACTTCAAATGCAAAGTTTCTAATCTTCTTTTGATATGAAAGTCTAGGGTCTAGAGTCTATAGCGTTGGTTTCCTAAGATTGCCCGATGGGCCTGGGCCTGGGCCTAGTACAGTGAAAGAGTCCAAAGTTTGGCCCAATATGATTTCCACTTCCGCTTAATTGAAATTTTACTGTGTGCGAACAGAATCTACAAAACTGCCTAGACACTGCTTTCTTCCGCATAGACAATTGCGACTTGGATCATGATGCCTGTGGAGTTCTCAGAGGGAATGAGCAAGAAAAACACATGTACTGGAAATCTATGAAACCTGTGAAACTATTTCTGAATTGCGAGACCCGAACCATCTGCGACTTGAGCCTGCAGGCTTTGTTGCAGCCGGATCGACGGCAACACGAAACAAAAAATGCACCTGCCAATGACCTTCTTCTTCTGTAAACAACAACGACAGCCTGACGAGCGCACACCTACTTGTGCCTGTAGCAACTTTCCACAGAGCGAGGAAGTGGGGGTGGGCAGCCTTCGGCCCTCACACTCCTGTTGCTTCTGGAGCAACTGTTGCGTGTTCACTACGAAGAACACCCGGGGCGACCATCAGTAGATCCTGGGTTGATTGAGAGTTATGCGGGGCCTGGGCTGCTTAAGGTTTAAGTTTAAGTTTAAGTGAAGACTCAGACCAACGGTTGGGCACTCGGACCCAGGATTGGGGTTTAAGCTTTCATTGGTATATGTCCATTACTGACTTTTACAGGCTTGAGTTTGAATAAAACAAGTTGTATTCAAGAAATGCAATATCTCTTAAGTCTTAAGTTGACGCTTAAGGCTCTGAGTTTCAAGTTTAAAGCCGTAATTCTGATATTGATGTTCCAGGCTTTGGATTGTTGGGGTGTAATTCTTTCGACACTCTAGGTTTCACATTGTCGGCTTTGCACTTTGAGCTGGGGGTTGTGTTTTGGGGCCGTGAGTCTACCGGTCACTGTCAAGATTGGGGCTGTCTATGATTCCTCACGCTGGCCTGTGTGTTCGATTGGACAATGTGTCTCTTACTTTCTGTGTTGGGGCCTACAACATCTATACTATGGAATAATGGAACCCGAAAACATATCCTATACTGTCCTATACGGTCCTGTACTACCTGCTGTGCTTCCCTGTTGTGTCTCCAAAGTATATCTCCCAACTGCACACGCAGACGTCCACTCAAAACTCCGAAATCGCAAGCTCTACCCTCAAAGACCTCCAAAGCAAAAGACATCTGCTCTGCAATGGCCGCACAGGCTCTGTCACGGCACAGCCAGGCCGAGCGCGTTTGCAGGGCCTGTTTTTTTTTGCGTTTCGCCAAAATCGGAATGGGAATGCTGGAAACCCTGCCCCTACGCCAAAAAAAGCTTCGGGCAGCTTCGGGCAGCTTCGGGCAGCTTCGGGCAGCTTCGGGCAGCTTCGGGCAGCATCGGGCAGCTTCGGGCAGCTTCGGGCAGCTTCGGGCAGCTTCGGGCAAAGGGCTGCCCGAAAGGAAAACCAGCAATCGGGCAAGCGCGCGGGCTGAAAAGCAGCATTCGGGCGATTCGGGCAGCTTCGGGCAGCTTCGGGCAGCATCGGGCAGCATCGGGCAGCATCGGGCAGCATCGGGCAGCATCGGGCAGCATCGGGCAGCATCGGGCAGCATCGGGCGTCGTAGTTTCAGCCGTTCCGCGGGGTTTGGGTCCAGTTTGGGTGAAAAAAAGCAAAAAACGTAGACCACCAACCGCAAAGTACCGGACGGAGCCTCTCCCTCTAGGATTTTCCAATCTTTGGAACCCTGTCCCCCAAAGCTCCCGGCCGCCACGATCACAACCCGTACCAAAAACCAACGTAGTCTCACTTGAGGCTTTAGCTTTACCCCGCCGTAAAGTCTCTAAGTAGTATAACTATGACACGGCACTCGTCGTTGCATCCCTGATCCCTCGTGTTCCTGCAGCAAAGCAATGCCACCCAGATAGATCGAATCAGTTAGGTAAACATGCAGCCCTGTGTTCTGCAGTTGCCACATGCGACGAATGAACCAAAGCTAAATCTACAGGCTACATAGTAGGCTTACAGTTAGACAACTTATAGAACTTATAGCCTTAAAGGGACTATCGGGCTATAATAATAATGTTACAGGGTGTAGTGAAGTTTAGTGGCTTCACAGCCCAGGGTTCGTGGGTCGGCCAAAGTCTAAGGCGTTAAGGTTTTAGCTTTGGGCTTTGCACTTGCATGCGAACAGCCTGGAAACTTCAAACGTCAAGCCCAGCACGTCTTCGAACCCTTCTAACCAAAACCTGCCGAACACACGCCTCCACCCTGAAAGTGTAGTCGGTGTTGCCTGCCCTTCCGGGAGACAAAGGCATGGAGACTCCACGGATCACGGTTGTACCTGTCCCGCTGCTGTTGGTGACTTGAAACTAGAGATTTCATAGCTGGTTTTCCTTGGCAGTGTCTGGAGTTTGGACCCTGGCGACACGACAGGCCTATAATTGAAAGCTTCTGTGAAACCCGGAGTCCCCTTTGTATACTTTGTATTAACTTCGTAATGTCTAGCCCCCATACCCAACCCCGCCCCAGAGCCCTGAAGTCCTTATACTCTGTAGTCATATGATATTAGGGGCTAGGGGGTGTGACTTTAAAGGTTGCAAGCTAAAGGAACCAACTCAGTGTCAACCAAAAGCAGGACCATGCCTTAAGATTCTGGGTTTGGGAAAGTTTAGGGTTTAGGTGTCCAGTGGTTGAACAGTGTTTGCTGCATGAACCAGGGCTTGAATGCCATAATGATGTCTTGTAACCTGTCCTCCTTCTCAAGGCCTTAAGGCTTTAAGAAAACTTGCGGCAATCATAGAATCATAGAATATATGAATATAGTATGTTTATTATATTCAACATTATATTCTACAATTGCCGCAAGTGTTCTTAAATTCTTAAATGCTACTGCAAGTCTTGGTGTCTGAGAATCTTAAAGGCCGAACGGTCAACAGCTCATGCACGGGCTTGCGAACTGTGCTGCACATACATAAACTTTACATACAAGGGCACATAATGATTATGACCTAATGAGCTTAGGTTCCTCTGCTACTCCGTGAGCTTCTGAACTCGACATGCTGGGCCATGGGCCAAAACAACTACATGACAACCCCCATCACAGCACTAGTAGACTACAAAACCGCAAAGATTGACTGTAAACTATACCCCGAAACAAGCCAGCTTAGTGGGTTGCCAAAAGACCTGAAAATGAAATCTGCCATGAAGTAGACTAGGTCACTCTGAATCATACAGTCCTCTACATCCAACCTCAAATCCGAAACTAGCACAACTCCAATCACCGGGACACTGCTTCTGTTGATCCTCACAGAGAACGGTCTTGCACAACACCTGCGGCACACCAGGCTTGTTTAAAGGATGCTACTCTACACACTACACATGGTGTTCTGGCGAGCTTGAGGCCTCCTATGCTGGGAGCGATGGAGTTATGTTGCCCCAACCTGTGATCGCGAACCTCGCGTCTGTGATTGGGTTTGAGACTCTAGGGTTGTGTTTGAGTTGTAAATGTGTATCCATGGAAACCACGGGTGCATAGGATCCACTTATGATCTCATGGCCTAGGGCCCAGGGCTTGTCTTATATTCATATATATATATAATATAATTATATAAACATACATACTATATACATGTTCTACATATATATATATAATATAATATAATATAAGGAATATACATGGGCCTGGAGTATGGAGTAGGGCCCCGTAGCATGCGCCATGTCATGGGCCTGCAGAGTCGCAAGTTCTAGGGCACACGGCTCTCTGATCACTGATCTCCAAGTCAAAACTCCGAAGAAGCACCCGAAGGATCACCTTGCGCAGGCCTGTACTGAAGCCATTGAAGACTGAGACAGACTTGCTTCGGCACCTCCGTGGGCACAGGTAGAAAATGTTCAGGGATTGGTTTGAAGTGCGGGTGAGGCCAAAGGATTTGCGCAAAGCTTGCACTGCAGGCACTCATTTCACAGCAAGGCTTGAAAGCTTTAACTCGAAGGTTGAGAGTTGAAACAGAGTCCACCGAGCTTTGTCAAGTCAGCCCGGGTCGGAGCGGATAGCACATGCAAGAAGAGAACACGGCAGTGTCAGCGTGTGTCGATACTTTCGGAGAAGTGGCACACATTCCCGCTCTGGGGATCATATGTGAATTCCCTCTTCACTTTGAAGGCAGGCGTAGTCTTCACTGTCTTCGGGAGCATGCTGCCGATCTGCGAAAAGTCCCAAGGCTGTGGACCTGAGCTCGAGCGAGGCCTCTTGTTGGCGGGGCCAGCATTTGGAAGCGGGCCGGATGGCGCAAAGGACACCGGAGTCCAGGAACCTTCTGAACCATCAGAGCTCATCTGTCTCCTCTTCCGCTCGCGCTCTTTCTTGCCGGGTCTGTTCTTGGCCTTCACGGATTCCTCGAGGATCTGCTGCTGCTCATGCTGTCGCCTCTCCAGCATATGTCCCACGGATCCCTTGGGCTTCGACTTTGGCACGGGCTTCGGCAAACTCATCCCTGCACGCGGTAGCAAGCTGACCTTGGGCGTGTCATCTGCCATCTGGGTCTTGGTCAACGCCTCACCTCGGATGTAGAGTTGAGGGCAGAAGGGTCTGGGACATGCGGAGAAGCGGAAATCAGATGGCTAAGCCATAGATGGGACTCGGCAGGGACTGGCTTAAAGTTTGAAGTTGGAAGGAAACAGGGTTTTCAGGGCTTCGGGTCCACATACGACATTGTGAAGTACAAGACTTAGAGACTTAGAACCTTAAATTAAGCCTTAAAATACATAATGCTAACATAAAATCATAAAACAACACCGCAACTGAACAACTTGAGCTGCCGGTTTTCAGCTCCTCTACACCCTGCACCACTGGCCGCGCTCCTCCTCTGTCCACAGCCCTGCCCGGGTTGTTCTGAAGCACTTGGCTGCTGGTGCTCCACTGTTCTGGAGCAGGACTGCCTCGCTCACGCGGGGCAGAGCTGTTCCATGACTCTACGCTGGGATTGTTTTGTCCATTGCGTGGCATCGGAGGTGTAGGTGGCCTTCCTCGCGGCGGGAGCGGTGGCTTCGGAGTCTGTGTGTCCGCCAGTCGGTTGAACTGCCCTGCTGCCGGCCACCAGCGCGAGAAGTCACCACGCATGGCGGGATATGAAGTACCAAGCAGCTTTAGGCACTAGGAGTCACGAGGACCACTAGGAGCAGCAATGAAATGGATAAGAACATTACAGGGCACTGGAGCGATCTGCTTTTGAGCTATCTTAACAGTGCTGACAGGAAGCAAGCACTGTTTGCAAAAGTTTACACGATGTCTTTAGATACAGTTCCTTTCACACTAGAGGCCCTACCCAACAACACCTGGCTTGTCCACGACCTCTGTGGTGGTCTGTGGAGCCGACACTGCATTTCATGTGTCATGTCATGCCGTGTGCCCTCACGCTGCCTGCCTTGGTCAACTGTAAATTATAACACCTACAGTAGGACGTTGGAAGCCTCCGTCCCCATGAACTTCCAAGTCCCAGCTTTGCAACAACCTGATCCGGACGCAAAGCGAAACGACTTTCGGGGACCGAGACTTTCACTTACACTGACGGACCGTCACTGCTGACTGAGAACCCTCTTGCGGAGCTGCAGGAAGCGCCTGGTGGACGCTGAAGGAGTACACGCAAACGTCCCAATCGCCGTCGACACGCAGGAGAGCCTCGGCAAAGGCATGTGTACTGTGTTCAGATTCACAGCCCCTTCAGCTGGAGCTACATTTTACACTAGCCCTGCAGCGCTCCTATTGGATCCAATGACTGGATGACACTGCACACAAAAGCACGGTACTCTCCTGAATTTGTCGAGCCTCAAGGCATGCGCAGAGCCCCTTACAAGTGCTCCTTTGTTACCGTGTCCCCTGGTGCACAAAAGTGGAGCAGAATGCTGTCACGACGGCACTGCCTCAAGCCTGGAACTGTCAGAAACCTTGACTTGCCTCGAAATTCTATAAACAAGCTCACGTTCAAAAAATACTGCATGTCCCCAACCCCCCACAGAGAGTAGACAAGGAGACAGTAGAGAAAGATAGAGAGAGAGAGAGAGAAAAAAAAAAGACAGACAGAGAGACAGAGAGAGAGAGAGAGAGACAGAGAGAGAGGGAGAAAGAGAGAGACAGAGAGAGAGAGAGAGAGAGATAGAGAGCGAGAGAGAGAGAGAGAGAGAGAGAGAGAGAGAGAGAGAGAGAGAAACAGAGAGACATACAAGGCACTTCTGATATGAAATATGGACTATATGGACAACATGCTTCCTTGTCTTACAATCTTAACTCTTCTGTAACAGAATCAAACCAGGCAAGACGAAGAAGCATCGACCGACAGCCATACAGCAACCAGTGATGAGCAACCGACACCCAGAACCTAGCAGTAGGCAGCAGCAAGCGAAGCGCAATGAGGGTGGAGCATGCACAAGCAGGCTCATGGCAGCCAAGTAGCCTCATGCGGGCATGTCTCTGGCATCCAGTTCTGCTAGAGTCGGGAGAGGTTCTCCGCTTGGTTTGTAGGGGCACAAATTCACATGATCAGATCGGCTCGGGTATGCAGCACCTTGCAGCAGCCACCACTTCAACCTTCTCTCCGTTGTCTCTCGGCCCTCGTGGCGCGCAAAGCGCAGGCTACGTGCGCACTGCTTGGGTTTCTCATTCTTGTGGGCCTCGCAGTTGCACTGTGTGCTGAGTCCTACAGCTGTGCCATTTGCTTTGACAATAGTGAAGCGACTGCCCTTCCAGAAGAAGCTGGTGTCAGCTAGCACACGGGAATGCGAACCCCCCGGCGCACGGGGGGCCGGCTCTGGAACAGGATCCGCTGGCTCTGCTGCCAAAGCGTCAGCTCCAACAGCTGCAGGATCTGAATCTGAACTGGAATCGCTAGAACTTGAACTTGAGCTCGAGCTTGAAGTGGAACCTGAATTAGACCCCACAGAGCCATCGCCAGAATCTGCGCTTTCACCTGCCTCCACGTCACCAAAAAAATCTGGGGAAATGCTGACGTCCTCGAAATTCACAACAGAATCGTCGTCTGCTTCCTGAGTGTCCTGCACCTCGGCAGGAGGATCTGCAGCCTCAGAACCTCGTGGTTGACTGTTCCGCCCCCTGCCTCTTTGCCTGCTTCCACGAGCAGCAGGGGCTTTCCGCTTCCGAGCTACTGGCTGGGCAGACGGAACCTGGTCTGGCATGGAAGGATTATACATATTCTGAAATTCAAACCCCTCTGCTTTGCGACCTGCACGTTTGCGCTTGGATGCATTTGTGGAGCTCTGCTTGCTCTCGTCACCGCCAAACAAAAGAGAAGCGTAGAAAGCCTTGGTCTCAAAGTGAGGCACCTCCTTCAAATGCTCCGCTGCAGTAGCTAGCGCCGCAAGGTACTCGTGGCACAGTGCCTTCTGCGAGTAATGCACCCAGCAAACTTTCGGTGAGTCATCTGTGCCGAAGCGGTAGGGCTCAGGGCAGCGAGGTTTGTCGCCCTTGCGCCGGACCGAAAATTCCCAACCCTGATTCTTCAAAAAGATTAAGATCTGGACTGTTGCCATCTCGCTTGCAGACTTGGTGGTCAGGGTATCTACTGCTGGAGCTACTATCAGAGGTTTGGGGTCGCGTAGGCTGAAGCTCAGGCTCACAGACTCCAAGCCAGCTCGAGTCATCTGCCACTCACTGGACTCTTCACCTGCAGAGATGCAGGTGAACACACCAAGTGCTGCCATGTGTCGTGCGACGACTAGGGGCCGGTTCTCTGTGGAATCAAATCCTGCGACGTCATGTTCAAGATTGATACTCCTGCCTGCGCCCTTGAACGCAAAAGCATCCTGAGCTACGACTCTCTGCAGCAGAGTCTGCAACTCTTCTCGATCTGACTGACTTACACATGCAAGGAAAGCAGGCTCCAGATTAGTCTGGAGAGCTTCGTCTGTTTGCCAGTGATGAATGCCAAGCAAGTCTTCAGGCGTAGATGCCACCGCTGAAAGCACAAACAACAGCGTGTCCTGGCCTTCCACTGCAACCGAAGCCTCGGTCTTGGCAGGTGACAGGCGCAAGAGCGGAAGTTGCTCAACGATCATCTGGCCGTCTCCTTGTAATGGGGCTGTGCCAGGCACGTACACGACTCGGCCTGGATTGGAGTGTGCTACTCGGAAAAAGAACCATTCCTGAGGAAGGCCGGGGGAGAGATGACCCGAGCGTGCTCCCTGTGCTGCGGCGCCGAGTGCAGTGCTTGCAGACTCAGAGACAAACTCAAACTCACGGCTGATGTCCTGCACAACTGTCACAACTGGCGGGCAGGCCGGGGAGGTGTAACTGGACAATGGAATTGGCGATGTTGCATTATGAAAGGAGTAGACTCTGGATGCTTTACCAGAACTTCCTGTCAGTTCCATGGCACTGTCTGCGACGCATGCTTTGAAGTGCTGGAGCGCATACTTGCACCACAAATGCTGCCACTGCTCGGGAACTGCGGCTTGCGGCAAGATGCAAGCAGGGCCCATTGTCGGTAAGGACGCTCTATCCGTTGAAAGCAAGCTCTCAGGCAGAGGTCGGAAGTGGGATGCCGGATCACAATGGAAAAGTATGGGCACCACTTGCTTGCTGGCTTTTGGCGGCAGGATCTTCTTCTTGCCCGAATAAGAAAGCACTAGGAGAGATTCAATGCCAGGATGGTGCCTCAGCCCGGCTGCGTCAGACATCTTCAAAGGGTTGCTTGTGCAGCGGCAATGCTTAGCAAGCATTGCAAGCCGTTCTGGAGACTCCCGCAACCATGTGCGCAAATGCGGGGACATGAACTCGAAAGCTATGTGCGCTGGACCTGCGTGCGGAGCTGCACGCACAGACCTCTTCGTGGCCGCATGGAGTCCTTCGACCCAGCGTTCCGCGACGGGTGCAAACTTAAACTTGCCTGCCCAAACCTTAAGCGTCGGCAGTTGGTTCCACGCAGTCTCGCCAGAAGCCAATCTCTCTATCTCACGGCGGCAAGCGGAGTCCGCAGCACAAAGTAACTCACACAGCGGGTGTGTTCGAGGTTGATCTGGATTCTGCTTCGCTGCATCATACAGACGCAGCGTCTGCACAGCTGCTTTACGACGGACGTCGGGACAGTGGTGCCCCATGCCGAAGGCAATGTAAGGAAGTTGTTGCCAATGCGAAAGCTTCAAATCTACAAGCAACAAAACATGCCTCCTAGCTGCTGTCCAATCAGCAACCAGTGTCTTCAGCTCTGCTGGTGTCAGGCGCGAGGTCTCCTCCAGGGCCAGCAAGTGGCCGTGAGCGACATCGAAGCTTCTCTTCACGAGAAGGGGGAGGGCGCCTGCAGCCAGCTCCGGGGCCCTTGAGCTCCTCAATGGGCAAGTTTGCGCAGCACGGTCGGAGCTGTGACTCGTGCATGGGCAACTCTCTGCCCAGTGCGAAATGTGAGATAAACACTCGGCGACACTGTGCATGGCATGCAAGTACGCAGGAAACATGCTGGACTTCAGGGCCTCATCTACCACGCTCAAAGACAGCACGCGAGACCTGTCGCCATCTGGCTCTTCAGTGTCCCGGTCCTGTCCCTTCACACCAAACTTGACACCCGACCAAGCGCGACGTAAGATGTGGATCAACGGAAGCAAGTCCTGCACAGCCTCCATCGCTGTATTCCAGCGGCCCCCATACACTTGAGCGTTGAAACTCTCAAAGCGAGCCTGGAACGCTGACCAGGGAGGCTCCGAAAAGCACGTCTCGAGGAGACGTTGCCGGGAAATCCGAGAGGAAAGCAATTTGCAGACCTGAGTCAACTGCTCCGTAAAAACAGGCCAATGCTCAAGTGCTTGGTGCAAGTCCTTGGAGACGTTGTGGGCTATGTGCAACAACCCTGCTATATAAATTTGCGGACTGAAATCAAGATGCAGGCTGGGGCCTACAACTGCAGCCGGTAAATCGGCACGTGCTGTTGCCATGTCAGAGTGGAACTGAAAAGCCTCCTCATTGCAGTCTGCTTTGAGCTCGCCTCCGCTTGAAGAGCCTTCAGCTGCGCCGATGAATTCAAAAGCTTCGGGCTCAAACTGTGGCTCAGACTCATGTTCCTCCTTCTTGATCCAATTGCCGCAGAGATCGGTTAGCCTGCCTGACCATCCTATTACGTGAGCCTCAGCACCCAAATCGCCTGTCCTCGTGAATGTGCTGTTCATGAGATGAGCACACTGCTGCCATGAATTGCAGGCGGCACGCTCTGCGTGTGCGGATGCACGGATTTTGTGGCCAACACTCGCACGTGCAGAACCAATTGCAGCAGGCAAGCAAGGACGCAGCAAGAGACGCGCGGCAAGGAACTGGCGGCAGTTCTGCTCTGTGCTCGGCTCAAGGGAACCAGAAATGAGCAAGTCTGCCTTGTCGACTGCAGACGGCAGCTCTGACACAGCCATGTACCGATGCCCCTGCATGACCCACTCGAAACCTTTCTGCGGAGAGCTGTCCATAGTGGACCAGCGGACGATGGATTCACCGGTGGCGGTTCGGTTCCTGTCCAACAACTCATCAACCTCTTCTGCTAAAGCCCTCGCATATGCCAGGATGACAGTCAGTCTGTGTTTGGTGAGGTAGGACTTTTTAGGCACGGCGTACTTACGCTCAAGCAGCGAGAGGAAGTAGCGGCAGACGCCCTCCTCCCTGAAAACAAGCCTGATCCCATGGCGTAAAACATCCCCCAAATCCGCAGTACTGCGCAGACGCGAACTGACTAGGACAGCTTCAACCAAAGTCTGCATGGAGTAAACACGGTGGGACATGCGTGCCTCTTCCACGAGCAAAGACTCACGCCAAGCCAACAAACTCTGCACATCTTGACGGGCCTGAGCAACCTCCAGAGCACTCATCGGTCTTTCGGTATTCAACAGGCGACGCGCGGACCGGGCGAGCTGAGACAGATAGGACAAATCAACGTGGGCCACATCAGCTGCATCCTGCTCCGGTTGCCCAGCAGCAGCCCGGGGTGGCAGTGGCAGAGCTTGGAGAAGTGCGGCACCAGCAGAAAAGCTGCGACTGCGACCAGATCGCACAACAGGCAAGCAATATTCAGTCCACCGACCTGAGGCCAGAAGCAAGGCATGAGGAGCAGGAAGCTTCAAGCAAAGGGAGGTGGACTGTTGCTGCAACGTGTGCGGCAAAAAATCTTGGAATCGGGAAAAGCCGGAATCATGCATGTGGTAAAACCACTTGCTTTCAACTCCAACAGATCTGGTCTCTATGCGGGCATGGTTGTGACCAATGACAGCTTGGAGCACGCAAGGCTCTGTGACCTTACAATGCAGAAACGGTTCGTGCCAATATTTGGTCAGAGACCAGAAATCTCGGACCTGCTCACCGCTATCCGAGAGGACCGATTCCACAGCCTCGATAAACATCGGGCTGAGCAGGCAAGCTCCGACAACGTGGGCGCACAAAGGTCCTAACATGTCAGTCCAGGCAGCAGCACGTGCCTCTGGCTCCTGCGGCAGTGCTTGTGGGTCAAAGGCAACTGGCAGAATCGCCTTCAGCAGAGGTACTTCTGCAGACAAATCTTCTAGAGCCTTCTGTACTGCACTAGTGCACACAGTGAGCCGTGGCATCATGGACTCCTTCTGATGAACGGCAGCTGCTGCCCTACCATACCGCAGTCTTGCTGTTGATGAAGCGACTAGCCAGCAAAACACTGGAGCATTTTGCATCAAGCACAGGGTTTGTGATACTTGACTCTAGAGGTCCGCTCGTGCAGAGCTCGGAATGCTCACGAAATGTCACGAATCATGCGCACGTATGACATGCACTTGATCCCTCACACGCATGCTTGGGTCGCTGTGATCTGGAATCTGGATTCACTCACTGCATCCACCATGACCAACGTGCCGTCTGGTGCCATCGCAAGCTTCACATGCGATGACTGCAGCGCCCTACACTTCCGACGACATATGAAAACTAAACTTCGGCTTGCAAAAAAATGTTTCTAACTCCAGCCTTTGCCTACATGTTCCTGCTCACTCGTCTGTGCTTGTCCTTGAAGTAGAATGAACAACAGAAGCCGCGTTGCAATTGCAAGCTGACTTGAATGTTGATGCACCCTGTGACCCCATGCGCTGCATGACTGCATGACGACAAAACATTTTTTCTCTGCCTCGGACGAAACTCGGAGCTGCTCTGCGTGTATTCTTACAGCTCCGAATCACTACTGTGAGGCCAAGTCATGGAATCATCATCCGAGTCGCCCTGCAGCACCCTGGGATTGTTCACGACTCTCTCCACAGTCACACCCAGGTGCTCCCTCAGGAGCGGGAACCCGTTGATGATAAAGCCAATTCTGTTAAGCTCCGCAGCCGTGAATGCATAGGAAATGTCACCAATGATACGCACATACACTTCGTCTCGCACCTGGCGCAAGCTTTGGGTGGCCGTCACCTGGATTCGCGCTCTGTAACGATGACCAACGTGCCAACGCGGGAAGCCACCTCCCAGCCTCTGCAATGGATTCAATGGATAAATTCCTCTGACTACGCATTGCTCGTGTTGCTGCTGCTCCTCCTGCTGCTGCTGCTGCTGCTGCTGCGTCTGCTGCTGCTGCTGCTGCAGTTATTAACGTTGCTGTTGTGATTGTTGTTGTTGTTGTTGCTGCTGCTGCAGCAGTTATTAATGTTGCTGTTGTGATTGGTGTTGTTGTTGGTGGTGGTGGCGGTGGTGCTGCTGCTGCCGTTGTTCCTGTTGTTCCTGTTGTGGGTGTTGCTGTTAACTGTTGTTGTTGCTGCTATTGCTGTTGTTGCGGTTGTGGCTGTGGTTGTGGTTGTACTTGTAGTTGTGGTTGTTGTTGTGGTTGTTGTTGTTGTTGTTGTGGTGGTTGTTGTTGTTGTGGTTGTTGTTGTTGTGGCTGCTGTTGTTGTGGCTGCTGTTGTTGTGGCTGCTGCTGCTGTTGCTGTTGCTGTTGCTGTTGTTGTTATTGGTGGTGTTGTATTTTGGTGAGGTTCTTGATAGTTTAAGTCTTGAGTCTTGAAGTCTTGAGTCTTGAAGTGAGAATAACAAATAAGATCTTGATAACACTAGTAGCGTAGCATGCAGTGCCAGGTATTGTTTGAGGGAACACAATCAAGAATGCAGGCAAGAGCACCTGAATCGGGCCGTCAGCACTGTGTGAATCTGCCGTGGAGTGTGGTTTCGCTCCAGAAGCACAAACACTGCAAGGAGGGCCACGGGTCGGATCACGAGGGTCATGTTCTCATACTCCGGGGCGAAAAGACAAAGCAGAGAAGGATACAGCATGCCGTAGATTTCCCAGTGGATATAGTTATGGAGGCCCAGCCCTGTCAAGGTAAAGCGACCAACAGGCAAACGACGATTGGCTCGTGCTGCTTCGAACACACGAGCGATTCTCTCGTTGGAGCCGCGCGACAACGGCATCCACATCTGCCCGGTCGTTCCAGCCAGCTGCTCATGCGAACGGTTCTGAAGAGATAGAACACCCTCAGCCCGCCAGCAAGCTTGATATTCAGGCGACCGAGCGGCCATCTCGCGACAAGCTATCTCAAAAAAAGCTACCTAACAATGTGTCCTGAGCAGAAGCGGTCAGGAATCACAAGCGGTCAGATGATCCATCCTGGCAGCAGCGGGGTTGGCATGTCCTGTTGTCGAGGAGTTGAGGAGTTATTGTCTACCGGCTAACGGAACTCATGTGAACTATCTGAATCAGCTGTCAAATCTGCTCGCCGTGGTTTTGGCGGTTTTGCTAGTTTAGATGTAGTTAAGGACACAGTATTAACATATCATTCACTTACATCAGTCTATCTCATTTACCTAACACACGTAAACAGTGCTCACTGAAGTAATCAAATATCACACCATCACCCTAAACATAAAACGTCAGTGAGACTGGCAACCAGAAACAAAACACACCCTTCTACCATCTCCAACAAACACATCAAAAATAAGGGTACATTAACTAATCATAGTGAACCCCAGAAAGTTGGAACATTGATTTAGGGTGATTAGTGTTTGATTTACATTGCCTTTAGTATAAGGGCATTAGGATGCTGATGTTTCAACTTTCTGGAGTTCACTGTAGAATAATTTACAATGAAACCAGATCTCAAGTTGACGGCAAAACAAAAATCTGCTGTAAGTCAATTCAATTCTAACAGAGCGCGAGAAGAAAATCTGCAGTGCGTTTTGCGCGGGCGCCGCGCGCGTGACGGAAACCTTCCAAAAGATCGTTTGATTGAGACAGTACAGTGGTTTCGTTAATTTTATTGTAAAAGTGCTGTACTGTCCCCAAAAAATCAATCCTTTTTTGCAAAAGTGCTGTACTGTCCCAAAAAAACCAAAAAAAACCAATCTTCTACAGTCTTGGAGCAGCTGCCGTGTAGGGGCCTCCAATAGATTGTTTTTTTTTGGGACAGTACAGCACTTTTGCAAAAAAGGATTGGTTTTTTTGGGACAGTACAGCACTTTTGCAAGAAAAGCAACAAAAAACACTGTACTGTCCCAAAAAAACCAATCCTTTTTTGCAAAAGTGCTGTACTGTCCCAAAAAAAACCAATCTATTGGAGGCCGCTACACGGCAGCTGCTCCAAGACTGTAGAAGATTGGTTTTTTTGTTTTTTTGGGACAGTACAGCACTTTTGCAAAAAAACATTGGTTTTTTTGGGACAGTACAGCGCTTTTTCTAGTTTGCGGAGAAGTGTGATGCAGAGCGAGTACTCAAGTGCTGAGCATCCTGCTGCTATACTCAAAGTGGTGCAAGCGCCCTCTAAGGCCACAAAACGTTCATGGAGAGTCTTGTCACAAGTCTCAGCCAAGAGGGTGCTCGAATGCTCTGTTTTTGTTTCATCTGCCTGCAGAAGGAAAACACAGGAATGTATTGGTAACTGGGGGGGGGGGGGTACCATATATATATATATATATATAGAGAGAGAGAGAGAGAGAGAGAGAGAGAGACAGACAGACAGACAGACAGACAGACAGACAGACAGACAGACAGACAGACAGACAGAGACCAAAAAACAAAGAGACAGAGAGGCAGAAAGACCGTCAGAAAGAAAGACAAATATATATATATATATATACATATATATATATATCTTGCTATACACCAGAGAGAAGTCGACACTTCGACCCCGAGGGGTCGAAGTTTCGACCCCTGGGGGTCGAAGTTCGACCCCTGCCGGGCCAGACCTAGATCCAAAATCGCAGGAATTCGGGAAGTGTGATTTTTAATATAGATCCAAAATCACAGGTTGAAAATAAAACTGTGATTTTGGATCTGGGATCCAAAATTTTGCGCTGTGATTTTGGAGAACTTGACGCTGGGATTTTGGATATCATATCCAAAATCACAGGATAAGATAAATATCTTGAATTCCTGTGATCCAGGAGATTCCCCGGTCTTCTGGCAAAGATAACTTTCGGCCTAACCCGGTCTATGGGGTAGTCGCGGGAGAGCCTTCACGAGAGCGTGGACCCCTTTAGCGCGCGCAGAGCCCTCCAAGAGCCCTGGAGAGGCCTCGGAGGAGAGGATTTTAGTCGCGGGAGAGTCTTCCCGAGAGCGTGGACCCCTTTAGCGCGCGCATGATCCCACAAGAGCCCTCCAGGAGCCCTGGAGAAGCCTCGGAGGAGAGGATTTTAGTCGCGGGAGACTCTTCCCGAGAACGTCGTGTGTGTGTGTGTGTGTGTGTGTGTGTGTGTGTGTGTTGGTGTGTGTGTGTTGTGTGTCTGTGTGTTGTGTTGTGCGTGTTGTGTGTGTGTGTGTGTGTGTGTGTGTGTTGTGTGTGCGTGTGTTGTGTGTGTGCGTTGTGTGTGTGTGTTGTGTGTGCGTTGTGTGGGGGGCTGTGTGTAGTGTTGTTGTGTGTGTGTGTGTGTGTGTGTGTTGTGTGTGTTGTGGGGGGAGAGGAGAGGAAGGAGCTGGAGCTTGTGGGCGCGGGGCGCGGTGCAGAGCACAAAAACACAAACCCCACAGTGATGTGGGGAACACACACACACACTTGACACATCGTGTCGCAGGTCTGATCTGTCGGTGCATACTGTCAGGAAAAGTCAGCAGCTCAAAGCAAGCCCTCACTCAAACACAGCTCTGAGTCACACCTGAATGATCAGATTGCAGCAACCATGCAGGAAACTCGGCAGTGGCAAACGTGAAGCTGTCACTCTAGTGTTGGTTACTCCAGTGCCTCAGGGGGCCCACTGGCTAATCCGAAAGCAGGTACACAGTGGTGATCAGCCACTGCATCCACTCCAGTGATTTGGCTTCGTTGGGCAAGGCTGATCACTGGAGCCCTTGCCCCCCTGCCTACTTCTCTCCCTTCGAAACAGGGTTGGACACACACAAGCCCGACCGGGCTCATTGCAGGAGCTTGCACATCACTTGCACGTCACTTGCACATCCCTTGCACATCCCTCGCACGTCACTTGCACGTCCCTTGCACATCCTTTGCTGCTTTTTCACTGAATTTCATGGGAGAGTCTTATGCTCAAGAAACCTAGGAGAGTGGGCTGCGAAACCTCAGGAAGCGCAGTCTATGCACTAAGTGCAATTCAACTTCTGCTTCTTCCGCATCAGCATCGAAGTACATGCAACACTGAGTTGCAGTTTGGTACGCAACGCTGGCCAGTGACACAATGCTCACTCGCAAACGCTCCTGTACTAGGTCTACGACAGCTCTCATCCACCTTTTTGACGGGCTGCTCAACATGGTGCATGCCGCGGCATTGATTTGTGCAAACCGGATGGTGGTATGCAAAGACTGAAAGCCCATGGTCCACTCAACCGAAGAGGACAGTCGAAACTCCTGTATCCCACGTCGCAGAAAAGTGTACGCCACCATGGTGTCGGTTATGGGTTGTGCCTCTTCTGGGTCATCATTTGGATCGAGACGGGTAATGAATGTGATTCTGGTTCTGATCGGCAACACGTACATCAAGATGTTGTCGAGCACGTCAGAAGCAGCCCAATCCATGATGTTCGGGGTCTACACAATTTTCCGAGTGCTTGAAGCAAAACTCATGCACACCCTTGCATATCACTTGCAATCCGCTTGCACATCACTTGCAATCCGTTTGCACATCCCTTGCTGACGAAATCGACTGGTTCGAGGGTTTGAGCAGTCGTAACAGGTTCTGTAAACCGAAGATGACGAAAATTTTGTACAAGCTGGAAGGTGTGCAACCTAGGCCACCAGCCGAACTTCTCCCAGAGCTGCATCGCGACAAGGTATTTGGCAACGTTGATGGAATCGTTGATTGATAACTGGATGTGGAGAATAATAGTCTCGTGTCCGGTTGCCCGACTGCATACACGAACCCACATCCGAAAATTGTAGTCGCGGCTCGTACTCCAAGGCAAATTGGCTTCGCGAGCCTTGCGCTTCATGTTGGACAACCTACACAATTTCACTGGATATCAAATGCTGCAACTCAAGACGGCTCATGCAGAAACCTGAAGATGCACAGCACCGCACTGGCACACAAACGCTTGTTTGCAACTGCTCACGTTTCACTCTGAGACTTCAATTTCTGCTGGAAGTGTTGGGGGCAACTCTGTTGTTTCTTGAAGTTGAAGAGAATTAACGCAATGAGTAGTCACCGATTGAAGAGAATGCAAATCCGTCAGCAAGTTCCCCACCACTTCGTTGGTCTTCTGAAGTTTCTGAAACAGTTCTGTGGTGGCGGACATGACTTCCGCCACCTGAGCCTCAGTGTCCCTGATTTGTGTGGTGAGCACGTCGAGTTGGGCTTGTTGGATCTTCTGGACGGACAATGCTTCTTCGCGAAAATGACGGAATTCACCTCTGATTGTGATCAGCTCCTGTTGTGTGTAGGAAATCCAGCGTTGAAGAGGTGCCAACGGATCGCACGCTGAGTTGCTCGACATTAGCGCAATGGAACGAGACTTGAGCAGGGTGCTGCAACACTGTTCTGGTGTGTACCACAACACGAATGAACGAGTACTCTCAGCACTGGCGTCCACTGCACAATCTTTCCTCACTTCAGCACTCGCATGCGTTACAGATACAAGTGAAATCCTGTCACATCGGGCATACTCAGCTAAGATCAGACGATTGACTGCGTCGCGATCGGCGTGATACACGTCTTCTGGTAGGCATAGGTTTGGATCTAATCGGAGTACCTGACGCAGCTGAAGATGTAGGTGCGGCCGACGACGAAGCAGCACTGGACACCAAAGGAGGTTCAGACACACGATGCTCCAAGCTTGCTAGTGGTACCGGGGGTGGAAAGATAGGAGCACTGGCACTGGGCGGGGGGAAAAAGGGAGGGGGAAGAGGGGGAGGGAGGGGAGGAGGGGGAAGAGGGGGAGGGCCAGGGGGAGGTAGGGGGGGAGGTGCAGAACTGGACGAAGGGTTATCGCTCCCTGCACTCGGTGTACTCCTCGTTGTTGGCAGAGAGGATGGAGGTGCATAGGGGTGGGATCTGGACGAACGTGATCCTGAAGCTCCGCTACTGCTAGGACGTTCTTCACGCAGGTTTGCTCTATCCCTCTCATCCAAGCGACGCAACTC